CGGTCACTTTCCCTCTCTCCCTTTTCTCTCTCCCTCCTCTCTCTCTCTTCTTTCTGGTTGTGAGTCTCCACGGGCATTGGAAATGGACTCAGAGAAACAGACTGAAAAGCTCAGAGAGGAGAAGGTAGAACTCCTAGCCGGAGCGACATTTCATTTGGAAGTAGAGAGCAGCAAACCAAAGAAAAACAAAACAATTTCAAACGAGAGGTCTGATCCAGCGACCCAGTCTGATCAGACTGAATACGAGGTCCTCTTGAGTCCAGTCTGACCAGCTCCGTGACCGTACAACAAATCAGACAACGAGTGACTAAATGCAACAATGGAGAATTGAGTGGTGTACAGGGTGCGAGTCAAGCCACGGACAGTGCAATCAGAAGATATGTGAAACGTCTCAGCCAAGATCCCCTCGGCAGTGGGTGTCCTAATCCAAGAAGAATGAACTCCGTAGCTCTTCTTATTTGGGCCTGGTCCCGCTGGGTCCCAAGGGTCCCAGGGGTCCCAGGGGTCCCATGTAGGTCGCAACCAGGTCCCAACCAAGAGGAGTTACACATGGACTTAGTTCAGTCTCTACTGCATTGAAAAACGAAATTTCAACTTCTGGCAGAACCTACAGACTACAACCGTTCAGAGATGAAAAGACAAAGCACTCTAGAAAGACTCGGCATTTAGGTCAAGATACTTCATTCTCCATCCATAGCTACTGGCATGCCTCCCAACCAACTGAATCTTGGTTGGAAGACCCGTTCCGCCCTTGATTTCCCACTACCTGAAAAACAGACTACTGCAGCACCCGGTAGCATAGAATTTGCTGTCACATACGAACAGATGTTGCAGCAGGCCGTTGAGCACATGGGGAAATCTTAGGATGCTATGATTGCATCTGAGAATAAACACAGACGACCTTATAACTTAGAAGTAGGGAAAAGGGTCTGGGCAAAGTCATCCGAACTGGGACAGGAACTAGGAATATCTAGGAAACTAACGCCACAATATTTTGGTCCCTGGGAGGTCCTGGACGTAGTGGGGGAACAGTTGGATGGACCTTCTTATGTGATTCGCGTCCCACCTCATCTACGAACACACCCTGTTTTTCACGCATCCAAACTGGCACAAACTGTACAGTTTCCTTCCAGACGATCAATGCTGCCCCCAACCATGGATGGTGAAGTGGACATCAACCAGATCGTGGGGCATTGTCTGATGCCTGTTCCTCGACCACCGGGCAGAGGCCGCCTTCCTAAGTCAAAAATGCAACACCGGGTCAGATTCAGACATCATCTGGACCCCAGCGAAGATTGGTGGTTCACCAGAGAAGAACTCGTGAGATCTGCACCTTATGTCATTGCAGGCTACGAAAGAGATCTCAAAGGGAAGATGCCTGCAGAATAGAAGACTTCTCAGAGGACTATCGAAGTACAGGAGGAGGGAATGCGAGGATCTGGATCCTCGGCAGGCCTAAGGCCCCCCCGCAGCAAATGTGCCCGCCCTAAGTGAAGGCGGGCCAAACAAATTACGAGAGGCCCTTGCTGTCAATTTCGTATTTGGGGTCCAGGCAGTTTCGTCGCGCCAGTTGGTTGAAGGAAAACGCAGGCCGAGCAGCATGGAAATTCCCAGGCCTTCTAGGCCTTTCCAAAAGCACAGGCCCTGGGCGAGATTCGCAGCCTCATACACAGACAGTTGGAAGGCCCAACCGAATGAGGCCCAGTAGCTGCACCAGAGGTGCAGCATCCTGGGGCCTACCGGAAGCTTCTGGGCCCAGGCCAGTCCAGACAAGCTGCCGAATGAGGCAGGCTCTTTCCATATAGGAAAGAGCTCGCTGCCTGGCCAGGCATTCAGGCGCTGGCATGCTGGCGGCAGCACTGCTGGAGCTGAAGCTCGTGGGCTGCTGCTAGCCCTGAGCGGCGAGGTGCAGGCACGTGCGGTCGTGCAGGGAACAGGGCGCTGCTGAGGGCAGCGCCATAGCCCAGCCGCCATAGCTGGCAGGGCTTGAATGTACAGTGAGGTGCAGGGGTGGTCTTCGGGTGTACAACAAAGGGAGACGTGGGAGAGAGTCAAGGGGGAGAGAGAAGGATGATGATGATGATGATGTGAGGGCACGTACCTGGTATTGGCGATGGTTCTGCATGGGCGACATCTTCAAGTACTTCGGGTGCTGCTGATGTCAACAGTTGCATTGTCAATTAGCTGGCAGGGCTTGGATGTACAGTGAGGCGCAGGGGTGGTCTTCGGGTGTACAACAAAGGGAGACGTGGGAGAGAGTCAAGGGGGAGAGAAAAGGATGATGATGATGATGTGAGGGCACATACCTGGTATTGGCGATGGTTCTGCATGGGGGACATCTTCAAGTACTTTGGGTGCTGCTGATGTCAACAGTTGCATTGTCAATTAGTAGGCTAGTAGTAGCTGTGTAGGGAGTAGGCTGGGCGCCGAGCGCCAAGTAGGGAGATAGAGACTGGATGCATATGTTGGTGGTGGCGAGAGCAAGCTCTCATTGACATTGACTTTCAGTGCTACGATTCTCCATTGGTGTTATATCGGTGCAATGCTGCTTTCTGAACACTGTGATACGATCTGACTTTCAATGTGATTGTGCAATCTGAATATTGTCATCTCGCTTCTGTCCATTTTCCTTGCAGTTGAAAGTCCAACAAGAAATTGCAAGGAATATAAGTGTGAACGATATACAGAAAACCAAGTTGCGAAATCACACAGATGTCCAGGTAGTTGTGTCCAAGCAGAGAGTACAAAATGCACCGAGAAACCATCCATATAGAGCAATACAATGAAGTAATGAGCCAATGTTCAAGCCCGTAGGCCACACCAACACAGTATCCAAAGTCGCTCCTCTCTGTCTGGCGGCCAGCACCCAACTATCCTACCTACAGCTGGTTCACGCAACAGGATCACTTCGACTCTCGAAGACCAATGCACATGACTGTCAACACCATAGCCGACCTCTCTTCATGTACCAGGTACGTATCGCGTCACCCTCAGTCAGACCTTGATTACCCCACACTTGCCTCCTTCCCTGAAGATCACCGGATCGCCCGCATTACCCCCTGGCGCCCAGCAGCCCGGCTATGGCTGCCTGCGCCCCGCTGCCCTGCAGCGCCCCACTTCACCGCTATGCGCCCCGTCAGCGCCCTTGGTGGCAGCGCAGCATCAAGGGATAGCGCAGCAGCACTTCCTCATTGCCTGCACTGGCCAGAATGCCTGGCTTGGGCTGCCTCACTTGTTTTATGGAAGTGGCAGCCTCCTGGATGCTGTGTGTCGCCTGGCTGGAAGCTTCCGGTAGCTTCCGGTTGGGCCTCAGACCCCGTGCCCAGACCCAAGACTACAGTTCAGGGCCTGGGCCCTTTTCAGTTGGGCACAGCCTGAGTCTCCGGACTTGGACTGTTTGCTGCATCTGTGCGGGGCTCCCAGGTAGGTGCGTCAGCAAAACTGCTTTTCCAAAGGCCGATGGCCTGCTTCCCAATGTATCGGCCCTGCTTTGTGTGTATGTGCCCAGGCGCAACTGTCAAGGCCTGGGCCAACTGTACGGCGCAGCTTAGTGAGGCTCACGCGTCTACCCGACCAACTGGCGTGCTGCAAGAGCCTGAATACCCACATATGGAAATGTCAAAGTTTGGCCTTTGACGGATATTCACCCGCCTTCACTTAGGGCCGGCACTCGGCTTGCTGGGGCCTTAGCCCAGAACATGTGATGTCTGATAGGGCCCCCTGAGGACTCGTTCCTCACAAAATCTTGGTGCCAGAAGAAAAAAAAAAGGGGCAACGGGATATGCCAACCAACCTGGGATTTTATAATCATATTATTAATGTTGCAATAACTCAGCTCAAATCTGCATAAGCTGTGGGCTCTTGGTCGTCACTTTTGAGTCACAGGCCCGACATGGGGTCAAAAGTCACGCCCTCAGTCTAAGGGAAGCCTGGGCAAAGGCCTAAAGCCAAGGGGTATCCAGGGGTGGGCCAAAACCAGCATTCAGAGGCCCTACGAAGAACAGTTGACCTTGAGAAAGTCAACGGTCAACCCCAGCACGGGAATCCAGGCCCAGAGATTAAAGTCAACCGGCTGGTCAGCCATGGCTGTAGGTCAGATGCACATCATTGTTTGTTGTCTGGAGGTATCCAGAAGAATCCGGTCCAGGTGGGACACGTGGGAAATCTGCAACTGTGCAGCATCCAGGCCATTGGCTTCCGATTGATCTGGGCTGTCGACCCCAGGAGACCTGAGGCTGGTCAACGTGAGTCAACACTATAAGTTGGCCCAGCCCTGCTTGGAGACCATTCTGCCTTGTGCATTCTGCCTTGCGCAGGCTTGTTCCTGGTGCGGCGGCTGCTGGAGCTTTATGCTGGCGCCAGATTCTGAGTGTGGGCGCCAGCCTTAAGGGAGATTATGTTGATTAGGGCCATAGCCACATTGATTTCGACATTGATAGGAGTGTGGGCGAGGAGGAGGAGAATCTGGACTGTGAGATTGGTGGGTGTGATGAGGAGAATCTTACCTGGACTTACCTGCGACGCCGTGCGTGCCTTGCTCCTCGTCTCCAAGAGGAAGATCTGCACCATCCTCCATGATTGCTGCTGACGTTGATGGATGATGGGTGCCCTGTTGTGACCTGCTCGTTTTATGTCAGAGATCATCAGAGGAGAACCGTATTGTTGATGTGGTGAGTGAGGGAGATGCTCGAGGAGGAAGTGGGCTTGAGGAGGGGCTTCGCTTGGTTGATTCTTGTGGAAACTCTCCTCCTCCTCTCTCTTCTCCCCCTCTCCTCACCCTCTTCTCTGAGATCGCGACATTGGAAGACTACATGTACGCTCATGAACGATTTTTGGAGACAATAATGCTGTGCTGAGTCAGACTTGTGTTTCGACATTCATGAGCTTCTCATCTGTCTGGGTTCATTGCAATTTTTATTATTGTATAATTTATATTAGAAATGAAGTTTGGTTTTATAATTTGTTTTTTTGGTTGTTGTGTGGTTGTGCCGGCTGATCAGGTACTTGTCTGACGACAGCTTTATTCGTGTTGCACATGCGCTAGAGACTGCGGCAATTCTGCTGCGAGAGATCTTCAAAAAAAGATTCAATGAGCAGGTCAGGAGTTCTGTCTTTCCAAGAAAACCAAAAAAGGAAGAAAAAAATCAACTGGACTGCGAGGATTTAGTTCCTCGGCAGTGTCTGAACGTGCCATGCCCGCCCTAAGTGAAGGCGGGCCTGCAAATATGTGCTAATGCCTGTATATAGGGCGATGAGACCAGGCTGAGGGCCCCGAGCAGAGCCTGTTAGAACCCCCATGTGGGCATGGATCTTCGACGAGGCTTTGTTACGAGTTAGCTCCTCGGCATGCCCCTGGGCCTTTCCAGCAAGCATGAGGCCGCTTTAAGTGAAGGCGGGCCCCTGAATTTTCAATGTGGCCTGAGTTCGTCAATTTTGGCAAAGTTTGGTGGGCGCCAGACAGTTGCCATGCGCCAGTTGGTTGCCTCCTCCATACTCGTGAGAATCAGGAAATAATTCATGAGCCTTCTAGGCTCTTCGAGCAGCACAGGCGAAGCAGGGAGAACCTCACGTTTACTCCTGGGTGGTTGGGCATGCCTAACCAATTCGGTCCCGGGCCACTGTCTGAATGGGCTTCGGCGCAGACACTTTGGCTCGATCGGAAGCTACTGGGAACACACGAGGCCCAGCCAGACAGCAAACTGGGCAAGCACTTTCGATAAAGAAAAGAGCTCGCCACTGGTGGATACATTTGGGCACTAGGCAGTGCACGTGGCAGCGCTGCTTGAGCGTGCGCTAGCGCTAGGTGCCAGGCAGTGCGCACGGGTGCTGGAAGAAGGCAGGGCGCTGCTGAGGGCAGCGCCATAGCCAGCCCTACACAGCGAGGGGTTGGCTTGGACAGCCAGTGGAGGTGGTGTTGGTCTTCGTGTATGAGGAAGAAGGCGTGGGTAGAGAAGACGAGGGAGAGAGAAGAGAGAGATGAGGATGATGATGTGAGGGCACGTACCTGGTCTTGGCGATGCTCCACAGGGTCGACATCTTCATGTACTTCGGTTGTTGCTGCTGACGTCAACAGGTTACATTGTCAACTCGTAGGCTGGTAGTAACTGTCTGATTGTAGTCTGGGCGCTGAGCGCGCTCTGGATACATATGCTGGTGGTGAGGAGAGTATGCTCTCATTGACATTTGGATTTGGTGCTTCGGTTCTGGTGTAATATCAGCGCAATTCTGCTTTCTGGACAGCGTTGGACTTTCTGGCTTTCAATGGGATTTTGCATTCTGGATTTCTGTCATCTCGCTATTGCTCATCTTCCTTGCAGGACGAACTCGTGCATCAAAAAAAAAAAACGAGAAGGAGAAATGTACTCCTGTCATGTTGAGAAAATAATAGAAGTCCGGTCGTGTCAAAGAAAAAAAAAAGTTGTCCTGTTGTTTTGAAGTTCAACACTTTTCTAACCCTCTGTCGTTCTTCATGGGACGGAGCATATGACCGGTGCTGGCTGTAGTGCACCTTTAGGCTTTTGGGTCTCAATGCCCTGATTTGGTTTGGTCCCACCAGTACT